AGTAATTTCAAAAAAATTCCTACGCACACACAGGATCATGGTGATGCATAGCAACGAGAGGGGAGAGTGTTGTCCACGTACCCTCGTAGACCGAAAGCGGAAGCGTTAGCACAACGCGGTTGATGCAGTCGTACGTCTTCACAATCCGACCGATCAAGTACCGAACGCACGACACCTCCGAGTTCAGCACATGTTCAGCTCGATGATGTCCCTCGAACTCCGATCCAGTCGAGCTTTGAGGGAGAGTTCCGTCAGCATGACGGCGTGGTGACGATGATGATGTTCTACCGACGCAGGGCTTTGCCTAAGCACCGCTATGATATTATCGAGGTGGATTATGGTGGAGGGGGGCACCACACACGGCTAAAAGATCAAGAGATCAATTGTTGTGTCTATGGGGTGCCCCCCTCCTCCGTATATAAAGGGGGGAAGGAGGAAAGGGCCGGCCAAGGGGGTGGCGCGCCCTAGGAGGGGGAAACCTACTCCAAGTAGGTTTGCCCCTTCCTGTCCTAGTCCAAGAAGGAGGGGGGAGGAAGGAGTGGGAGAGGGGAAAGGCAAGCCCCCCCCCCCCTTCCTTGTCCTATTCGGACTCAAGGGGAGGGGGCGCGCCTCTTGCCCTGGCCGGCCCCTCTCTCTCTCCACTAGGGCCCAACAAGGCCCATTAGTTCCTGGGGGGGTTCCGGTAACCCCCGGTACTCCCATAAATGTCCGAAACCTTCCGGAACCTTTCCGGTGTCCAAACATAGTCGTCCAATATATCGATCTTTACGTCTCGACCATTTCGAGACTCCTCGTCATGTCCGTGATCACATATGGGACTCCGAACAACCTTCGGTACATCAAAACACATAAACTCATAATATAACCGTCATCTAACTTTAAGCGTGCGGACCCTACGGGTTCGAGAACTATGTAGACATGACCGAGACACGTCTCCGGTCAATAACCAATGGCGGAACCTGGATGCTCATATTGGCTCCCACATATTCTACGAAGATCTTTATCGGTCAAACCGCATAACAACATACGTTGTTCCCTTTGTCATCGGTATGTTACTTGCCCGAGATTCGATCGTCGGTATCTCAATACCTAGTTCAATCTCGTTACCGGCAAGTCTCTTTACTCGTTTTGTAATACATCATTCCGCAACTAACTCATTAGTTGCAATGCTTGCAAGGCTTATAGTGATGTGCATTACCGAGTGGGCCCAGAGATACCTCTCCGACAATCGGAGTGACAAATCCTAATCTCGAAATGCGCCAACCCAACAAGTACCTTTGAAGACACCTATAGAGCACCTTTATAATCACCCAGTTACATTATGACGTTTGGTAGCACACAAAGTGTTCCTCCGGTAAACGGGAGTTGCATAATCTCATAGTCATAGGAACATCTATAAGTCATGAAGAAAGCAATAGCAACATACTAAACGATCAAGTGCTAAGCTAACGAAATGGGTCAAGTCAATCACATGATTCTCCTAATGATGTGATCCCATTGATCAAATGACAACTCTTTGTCTATGGCTAGGAAACATAACCATCTTTGATCAACGAGCTAGTCAAGTAGAGGCATACTAGTGACACTCTGTTTGTCTATGTATTCACACATGTATCATGTTTCCAGTTAATACAATTCTAGCATGAATAATAAACATTTATCATGATATAAGGAAATAAATAATAACTTTATTATTACCTCATATTTCCTTTAGCGAGGATGCCGGAAGGGACACCCTAGGGGGGGGGAAGACGCTGGGAAGACCTGAAGGCTCGCGTCAGACGCGTCACTGCCGTCAGCGAGCGGCAGAGGGGCCGAGGAGTGGGTGGGGCCGGCCCCTACGCCTCCCCTGGCTGACGAGGCGACATGCGGGTCGTGGGGCGGGCTGTCCTCGGAGTCATTGTCGTCCTCCTCCGAGACAGAGTTGTGGTCGTGGCGGGGGTCCCGATCGCTGCAACAGCCCCCATGCCGCCACCGTCGGGGCCACCCCCCAAGGAGTTGTCGTCGGGGATGCGCGGGCGGCCAACATGGTTGGGTGGCTCGGGGGAGATCCTGAGGTCGAAGCCCTGGTCGTTGAAGAACTCCTGGACCTTGGCCCGGAGCTTGGACGAGTCAAGGGATTTAACCTTGACACACAACTCCTCCTTGCGGAGAGAGAGCTCGTCCACCACGACCACCTTACCGAGAATGAAGGACATGTTCCGAATGACGCTCTTCGAGCACGATGTCGGGGAGGCCGCTGATGAGGATCCATGTCGTGTCCAGTACAGCCACCGCCAAGGGGTCACGGATAGGCACTGAGATATCCACCACTAGCTTGTTGAGAGCCAGGGTGATGTCGCCGCTGCGGGTGATGTCGCCGCTGCGGGTGCCGTAGCTGTGGCTAACCGTGTCGGGGAACACCACCGAGAACTAGTTGCCTGCCAACATGGTGACCTGCCAATCCCAGCTGCAGTGGTAGAGGTGGTTAGGCTCTGCCTCGATCATCTCTGGTGAAGCCACCCGCTCACCCAGCACGGTGACAATCGCCAGGAGCGAGAGGGGAGGTATGTCAGGCACCTCGATGTGGAAGTAGCTCAGGCCCTCGATCCCATGTTCGTACATCATCAACTCCTTCGACACCGAGCGATCTGGGCACAGGAATGCAGGATGCCCCGGATCCGAGCATAGGTAGCAGCACTGTGGGCGAGTACATGTGACCTGAGAATGGCCGGCGAGGCCACAGTTGAAACACCTCAGGAGGTCATTTGTCTGGTCCTCGGGACGCACCGAACCGGGGGCGAAGGCTGGCGGGTCGCAAGCCAGACCCGAGGCCGACGCCGCACCATTACCGCGGCCAAGGCCCCGCTTCTTCTTCTTCTTTGCCCCCTGGCGGCCCCGGCTAGCCCCATTGACGTTGGGAGGGAAGTTAGGTACCGGTGGGTGGGGGCAGTACGCACAGGCTGCTATTGCTGTTGAAGCCGCAGAGGGGTCGGGAGCGGCCCCCGCGGGCCGGGGAGCGGCTGCTGTCACGGTGACGCATCGGAGAGGGGGAGCGGCGGCGTTCGCTCCGCCAGTCCGCGGTAGGGACTGGAGAGCGGGACCGGGAGCGTTCCCGGCGGTCAGCCCGGCCCGGAGAGCGACGCGACGGGGAGCGGCGGTCGGAGCGCGGCGGGGACCGGCGTCCATCCCGCGCCGACAGTAGCAGGCGGAGATCGTCCTCGCGGCGCATCGTGTCGGGGGGGTGGCGTCCCAGCGGTTGTCGGCGCGACACTTGGGGCGGGTCCAGTCGTCGTCCCATTCGCACAGCATGGTCGCAAGGGGAGGTGGCGTAGGGAGGGAACGGGGCGAGGTGGCGGCGGGGAGGGAGGATGGAGCGAGGACTAGGGTCTCGGTCACGGTCTCGTGTGCCCGATTCGGTGGAGGCGACCGAGGGAAGCCAGCCGGGGGCCAGATCGAGTGGGCTAGCGGGTGGGTCGGCCCACCAGCGGCCTCGTGCGGAATGGGCATGCACGTGCGAGGCACGGCCCGCAGATGAGCATCGGGCCCAGGCAACGTAAGGCCCAACTAGGTGCGGCCCAGCCAGCAGGGCGTGGAGGCGACAGCGAGGGATTCCCCAGCCGCCGCGGCCGGCGCCGGCGCCAGAGAGGAAGCTGTAGCGAGCCAGGGGCGACGCGACGAGAGGCGGGGCGAGAAGCGGAGGTCGGAGGAGCCAAATGTCGCGATGAACTGCCGACGCAGGAGAACCGGGGAGCATGCCAGAGCGGCAGCCGGACGGCAAGGCGGGGCACCGGCCGTGCAGGCGACGGCAGCAGGAGGGGCGGAGCGCCACGATGTCCGGGCACAACCTTGGTCGGACCGCCCCGCGACACCCCACGCCGGAGCGCGGCGGCGGCGAGCGGTCCGAGAGCCCAAGGAGGCCTTTTTGCCGGGCGTCGTCGGGGGAGCTGGCGCGGCCGCGAGAGAGTGCCTGAACTACCACGCCGAGGTGGCAGCCCGCTCTCCACGCAGGTCACAGCCAGACGAGCCGGAGGCTCCCGGCGCACGATCGGCCGGCCGGCGGCCACGCCGTCAGCCTCCGCGACATCGGCCCAACGCAGCTCCGAGGTCAGGGTGGGTAGGAGGGGGCGGCAGGCGGCGCATCCGAGGAAGGGGCTACCGCGGGGAGGCGCTCCGGCACCAAGGACGCCGGCGGCGAGTCGCCCTCGGGGGCGCAGGAGCTGTAGGCGGAGTCCATCTCCTTTCTAATATTCTTTGAAGCATAAAGCAAACGAAGTTTGATGTTCCATCACGTGTATTTATTATAGCGTGCTCAATCGATCCCCATGTGTCTGATAAATGTTCTCTCGTTGCTGTGTTGTACGTATAGGCTGGCAAGGATGTGGCGAGTGATCGGCGACGGGGCGACGGTGATGAAGCGCATGGCGGACATGGCGAGCGTGCTTCTCTAGTTGTGGGCCGTGCGGTCGATCATCAAGACTTGTATGTACATGTGCTATCCAGATTGAAGAAGGCAACTGAAAAAGGATTCCCATATTAGGCGGCGCCTGATCTGCTGTCTATTGTGTTCATGTGCATTTTTCCTCGACATGTCTCTGCTTTCTTTCTGCTTCTAACCATCTGATTGATTTCAATTCTTTTATGATATGCATGGCAATATAAAAATAAGTTCATCACTGACATCTGCATGTGCGAAGCAAGAACCGAACAAAAGAAAGTCGAATGGTCTGGGTGTGCACCTGACTGCCTCAGGAGGCTCGCCCCCCATCTACTAGCAATACCATCGTTTAGCACATCAGCACTTTCAAGATATACAAAAACCATACAACTAAACTAGACTGCATAAATGTAAATATGTACCTTCAATACATAAACTGACTTTATAAAATATATGGTTTCATGTGTGCTATAGTTGAGATGCATAAAAAAGATCTATTTATGGGCACCGAGATTAAACATGCGATATTGGCGGAATTCCCTGGGAGTCTAGACAAAGATAAACCACCCTGACATAGATAGATCTACCGGCTGCCGGTATGGCATCGACTACAGGGCCCCATGAGCTCAAATTGAACAGCCAATGGAACTCTCCCAGCTATGTATCTACCAACAGTCTTCACAGCTCTATGAGCTTCGTCAACACCTCTCTTGCTCATCGGCCAGCATTTGGCAATCCTACTTGAGGTAGTGCATTTGCCAATGGTACCAGGCCCTTGAATACACCTATTGTAGTCATAGGTTGTGTCCAGCGTCAAGCGCTCAAGCGAGTGTGTGCTCTCAAGGATGTGAACCGTGAGCTCAACCAGGCTCTTGGCTGAACAGAATCCCGTGATCGTCATGTGTCTGAGGCGGTTATGCGACAAGTCCAGCTTCTGCCTCGGGCATTCGTCATTATCTCCAACAACAGGATAGTGTGTCATGACATACTCATTTACCTGCATACATATATAATGTCAATGTCGAAGTGTAATACGGTAATACCATAGATACATCTGAGAGATATGGATAGTGACTTACGTGTAGGGTGAAAGACTCCAAGGCAGGAGAAGCATCAAGAAAAGAAACCAAAGAAAAGAAGTCATAGCTTGGAGGGAAGCCTTTGGGGAGGACTGCTTTGAGTCTAATTTCCAAGTTCTTGAGGTGGGGTAGCTTGGATTGTAGCAACGGAGTGTTGGCATTCTGAAAAATGATAAATTCCAAGATTAATCATGTGTTCTTGCATCAAACTACTCCTATACACTGTTCCCTATATACTTGAATGGTCCCAATAATTTGATCATTATAAGATGGTAAATGCACATACCTCGCTACGACCAACCAAAATAAGACTCTCAACATTCCTTGCAATGGACGGAAGACTAGTGCGAGCATAAAAAAGAACACCAGACGGGCATGCAGATGATAACTGTACATGCTTAAGTTGAGAACAATTTCTCACGTAGATTTCTGGCAAAGCGCTGTCATAGTTAAAATAGCAGAGGTTTGGAGCATCAATCTCTACAACCCGCAGCATGCTGCAACGTTGAACATGAAATCTCTTAAGATGCTGCATCGTACAAGGTATTTTCAAGCAAATTATCCCATGGCATGCGAATATTCTGAGCTCCTCTAGAATAGAAGATTTTGAAAACAAGTGCTCCAATCCTTCCTCGGTAGTGTGGACAAAAGACAATCTTACAGTTTTCAACCTTGCCAAGGAGCCAAGTGTTGATGTGGGATGAAAAGTGCAAGAGCCGATGTGAAGAAACTGAATTGAACTTGCAGCTCCCTCATCAGACAAAACTGAACACGGGAATTTGTAAATTTTCTTCATGGATAAAGGCATCTCCAAGTAAAGATCTTTAAACCCAGACTTAACGGTTCTTCGGAGCCACCTGTCCAGGTAGGAGGCTTTGATATTGGTGCAAGGGGTAAGAATAAGCCTAAGTGTCTCCACCTTCACCCCTTTGTCATGATGGTTTTTAAGAATTTTGTCAACTTTGTCAATGAGATAGATTTTTCTTTCCTCAAATTCTATGTGACTCAACCCAAGCGCACAGTCGTTGAGTCTGAGTTTGGAATAGCATCTCCATGAACGCAGGAATGCATGAGACACACAGGCAGCACAAGCAGCGTCTTGTATTGGTAAGAGAGAATGTATATGATGTAAGATGTCCTGCAAAAACAAGGTTCATCAGTTATACTGTAGTACCTATTAGCTGACTGCAATAATAAATCTAATCAAAGACCAGTAAAGTAATGAATGAAGATGACAATGCATCAATAGAGCCAAGTAAATGTAAATATCGTTGGAGGAGCACGGGCAAACAGTCGGTTTGTTGTTTTTCCTATCGTCAAAGTTGTATGCCCAAATGTAATAATACGTATTCTTGTGCCAGCAGTTATGATAAAGAATTAATTGTATCTGAATACTTTGTTGACAGCAAAGTAAGTAAAACATACCTCCGGTAGTTTGTCAAAAAGACTTTGTTGTTTCATATTCTCAGCAACTTGAGGAATATCAGTACCACCTTGATGATGGTTTATTTGAGCCGACGAAGCCTTTGATCCACTAGTATCTGCAATACAGCAGAGAAGGTAATACTATGTCACAATTTTACTCGAGCAACTCGGAGAAGACAAGGTAAAATAGTCGGTCCGGCTATAAAGAGTCAATAATCTGAAAAATTGTTTACATGAGCTCTTAGAGAGCTATATATATTTTTCTTTTTACATTCATTCACATAAAAGAGTATAGTAGTAGCACGCTAACCCGAGCATCCATTGAGGATGGTTGAAACTGTTTGGGATATACATACAGTAAGAAATACGGTTTGTCTAATTCACATCTAGATGTTTTTTTAAGGATGTCACATCTAAGCTCCCACAAATATATAATGCAGCAACAAAAAATAAAAATAAAAAACAAAAAAATAAACCACAAACAGAGTGGACATCAGCTTAGATGTGACATAACTATGTCACATCTAGATGTGTCCAGACAGACCCTAAGAAATAAGCGAGGAGAGTATACGTACTTGCAGCAGCCGTATGACGTTTCCGCAGCCAACACCAGCGATGCGGATGCCGTGTCCTGTGCACCGCGTGGAGGATCGCCACGGATCGAGATGGGAAAAAACATAGGCGCCGACGACGACGAGGGGGCGACATGGATGGAGGCTCGAGGAGAGAGATCGTTAGGCTTGAGGAAGGAGGTGGCGGTGAGAGAGATCTGGCGCGGCGACGGCGGAAATTAAGGATCCGCCGACCGCCGCTCTCCTATCTTTTACCTTTATGTATCCGCCCAACGCCCGACTATTGTCCCCTAGGCCCAACAGCCCAGTTAAAAGATGGATCGCTCAAGGTAAAAATAAACAGTAAAGACAATCGAACTCTACTCAACTGGGCGCCTCGCGAGCGGACGGACGGCGAGTCGGCGTTGCCGCGCTGGGCTGACCGGCTGAGCAAGGGGCGACGAGCGACGCGGCGGCCGGCGGCCTTGGCTGTGGGTTGGGAGGGCAGCCAGATTTGCTAGTTTCTATTACCTCCGTTCCCCCAAAAAGAGATGTATCTAGTCTAGACACTCATAATGGGGATTGAATTTACACCGGAAGAGAGAGAGAGAAAGAGGATCCTTTTTTTTAATAATAAAGGGGTGAAGAGAGAGAGAAAGAGATAGAAAGGGATCTGGGGAGACCGCCGCGCCCGGCCCGGGCCTGGACTGGAGAGAAAGCCAGCGGTGCTGCGAGCCACATCGATAGCTCCGCCCTTGACGATAGCGTTTCCTTTTTTCTTTTTTTGAGACAAACGATAGCGTTTCCTGTTAATAGCGACTAGATTTCCCTTGATTTTGGCCTCTCTCTGTAATGCAACGTGAAGGCCCAGCCCATCCATATACGTCAGACAAAAAAGTAGGCTATTGTACAAGGCAATGGGGAACGCACGCACGCCTAGGTCAGATCAGATCAGATCGTGGCTACGTTGGTTGGTGGCAGGGCCGGCCCTGAGGGGGGGCGGCCGCCCCGGCCCCCCCAGGTCCAGGGGCCCCCCACGTCGCACATAGCCCATGGGACTCAGAAGCAGGGACGCTAAACACTTGTATTAGACCCGATCGATTAATACGCAGCCGCAAGGGCCTACCAGCCAGATGCAGCGAGTTCACGATGATGATGGCGAGAAGTTTGCTGTAATTGCCAGTTTTCTTAGGAGGCTGAGCCGACGAGCCGTAACGATCCCGATTCCAGGCTCCAGGTCGAGAGACGAGTTGCTGGCGCTGGACGAACCGCCGCTAGGGTTCAGTACTCCCAAGAACTCCGCTCCGCTCTCTGGTTTCTAGGCGCTGGACGCGCACGCCCTTTGCCGAGCGCCTCCGGCAGGAGCCAGATGCAAATTCACATCGTGTTATCATTGAGATGGGAACTCACCGATCCAAGGTAGGCCTATATCATATCTTTAATTTATCACTTCCTATGTTCTATTCACATACATTATCTATCTATAGATTCACGTTCGCTCGTCTGTTGCATTGTCTTGTGTGACGTGATTAGCTCCATCAGTTGATCGTGACGCATCTCGTAAGATTCACAAACATAGGTCTATAAGAGCCCCATAATTCCTACACTGGCCTTCGTCCTGGCGCGCGCAGCATGGAGGGTAGACTGTTGTGCTATATTGGCGTTCTATGTGTATGGTGTGGATTTTTTAAATCTTGACCTATTCTAATTAAGTAATTTATCTTCATATACATCATGCATATATATAGCTTGCATTGTTCAAGTTTTGAGGCAAATTTTTAGCGCGCATGGCCATTAAAAAGTATATGTGGAGATTCCGTCGGTGACACACTATTCGTATTTTTTTTCTCGCTCTTAATATATAGCAGCTCAGCTGTCATTTCCTAAAAAAGTGTATTGAAAAGAAGTTTTTGACCATAAATTAGACCAGTCAAATTGTGAGACAAATATTTTGGTGGACTGCTCGACACCTCAAGGGGGTGCGGCTATCTCATTATATATAAGTACCAAAGGGTATAATATACAAGATGTATATACAAGTCTACGTATACACAAGTCTACGTACATATACAGTCTAACACCCTCCCTCAATCTTAACTGTGACCTGAAGTACAAACTAAGTTAAGATTGCGCCTACAGCCTACAAACTGTGGTTGAGGAAGAGGCTTCGTGAAGATGTCAGCAAGTTGATCCTTTGATGAGATGAACTTGATGCTAAGTAGCTTCTGTGCAACTCGTTCTCGAACAAAGTGATAGTCAACCTCAATATGTTTCGTCCGAGCATGAAACACAGGATTAGATGACAAGTATGTAGCACCAATGTTGTCACACCAAAGTACCGGAGGATGAGCTGAAGAGACTCTCAACTCACGCAACAAGGACTGAATCCAAATGATCTCAGTTGTCGCATCAGCCACTGCTTTGTACTCAGCTTCTGTGCTGCTGCGAGACACCGTAGCCTGCTTGCGAGCATTCCAAGCAACCAAATTAGAACCAAGAAACACTGCATACCCCCCCGTGGATCGACGGTCATCAGGACTACCAACCCAGTCTGCATCGGAGAAGGCTGAGATGTCAGAAGATGGCGCAGGTTGGAGGAGCAAACCATGAGAAGCAGTGAGACAGACATAATGCAGGATACACTTCACAGCTGACCAATGAGAAGTCCTGGGTGCATGGAGAAACTGACAGACACGGTTGACTGCATAAGAGACATCTGGTCTGGTGATAGTAAGATACTGCAGACCTCCAACAAGACTGCGGTACTCAGTGGCATCATCAGGTGAAAGAGGATCTCCATTAAGAGCAGACAACCGATCAGTGGCAGACATCGGAGTACTGGAAGGTTTACACTTCAACATACCAGCACGACGTAACAGGTCGAGAGCGTACTTCTTCTGAGAAAGAGTTAACCCAGGAGAAGACCGTGAAACCTTCAGGCCAAGGAAGAAGTGTAGAGCACCAAGGTCCTTGACAGCAAAATCACCACTCAAAGCAGCAACAAGACGATCGGCAGCAGCATCTGAGGAACTAATGAGGATGATATCATCAACATAGACCAGCAAGTACATCGTAACTTCAGGTCACTGAAGCAGAAACAATGATGCGTCAGCAGTGGAGGGGATGAAACCAAGCGCCCGCAGAACAGATCCAAGACGTGCGTGCCATGCACGTGGAGCCTGTTTGAGTCCATATAGCGCCTTGACAAGACGACAGAGATGGTGAGGACAGTCAGGATCCACAAACCCTGGCGGCTGTCGCATATAAACCTCCTCCTCTAAAACTCCATGCAAGAAAGCATTCTGCACATCAAGTTGACGAAGGAACCATCCTCGAGTAACAGCAAGGGACAACAGCAAACGAATAGTAGTGGGCTTGATAACTGGACTGAATGTGTCTGCATAATCAAGACCATACCTCTGTTTGAAACCCTTAGCAACGAGCCTCGCTTTGTAGCGTTCAATGGAGCCATCAGCATGCCTCTTGACTTTAAACACCCATTTAGAATCAATAATGTTGATCCCAGATACTGGAGGAACAAGCTGCCATGTGTCATTCTGCAACAGCGCCTGAAACTCCTGTTCCATCGCAGCACGCCAGTGAGGAATGCTCAGGGCAGCCTGAAAATGACGAGGCTCAGCAGTAGGATCCTCCACAGCATGAGCCATACAAGCAGCAAGCCACGCCACAGTCCCATCGGTACGGATCTTTGGCTGGAACACTCCTGTCTGGCTGCGTGTGCGGGCTCGAGGAGCAGCAGCAGGTGGCGGCAACACCGGACTAGACTCGGGTGGCGACAGAGGAGAGGCCGAGCCACCCGAGCCTGGTGATGTAGGAGAGCCAGGCGGCGTGGAGCCCGCGCCCGAGCTCACGCCGGAGCCAGGAGGCGTTGGGGCCGGCGAGACCGGCCCATCTGGAGCCAGACCCGGCCCCCGTGAAGAAGCGCCTGATCCAGGCGAGGAGGCGACCGGCTCGGGGGAGGCCCGCACCGAGGCAGCAGCCGGCTGGGGAGTTGCTCGTGCCGAGGCAGCAGCCGGCTCGGGAGAGGCCCGCTCCACGGCCGGCTCGGGGGAAGCCCGCATGGGGGGCGGGAGCGACGCCCGGGTGGTGGCCGCGGGTGCAGCCCCGTCGGGTAGGCGGGCGCCACCCGGTATGCATGCCCCATGCAGAGGACCGTCGTCCAGGTCCAGGGCTGCCGGCGGTGCCTGTTCCTCAAGGAGCTCAAGACGAGCACCACGTCCAACACCTGCAGCATGATTAGGAAGCAACGCAGGAGCATATGCAGCATCTACAAATTGACCAGGCGAAGGTGTGATAGAGGAAACGTCCGGTGGAGGAGTGGTAGAGTTGTTCGGAAGTGCACGAAAAGGGAACACATTCTCATCAAACACGACGTCACGAGAGATGTAAACGCGATTTGTGGGAATATGTAGGCATTTGTACCCTTTGTGAAGGGAACTATAGCCAAGAAAAACACACTTTTTCGACCGAAACTCTAGCTTATGTTTGTTATACGGACGCAAATGAGGCCAACAAGCACACCCAAACACTTTGAGAAAGGTGTAGTCTGGAAGTTCATTAAGCAAGAGTTTAAGTGGAGTTTTCATATTCAGTAGTCGTGAGGGCAGCCTATTGATCAAAAAACAGGCAGTGGAAAAAGCATCACTCCAGAACCTAAAAGGAACGGAGGCATGAGCTAATAAAGTAATGCCAGTTTCTACAAGATGACGATGCTTACGTTCAGCAGCCCCATTCTGCTGATGTGTATAAGGACAAGACACACGATGTGTGATCCCAAGTTTGTTAAAGAACAAGTTGAGATGATGATATTCACCCCCCAGTCGGTTTGAACATGAATAATTTTCTGACTAAGGAGACGCTCAACGTGTGCTTGAAACTGTAGAAAAACATCAAACACATCAGACTTTTTCTTAATAAGATAAAGCCAAGTAAACCGACTGTAAGCATCAATGAAACTGACATAATAATTGTGTCCACTAACAGACGTTTGGGCATGACCCCAGACGTCGGAAAAAACAAGCTCAAGAGGATGTTTCACAACACGACTAGACTCTGAAAACGGAAGTTGGTGACTCTTGCCCTGCTGACAGTCATCACAAATAGTTTCAGCAGTTTTATTTGACACAACTGGTAGCT